CAGTTTTCTGGGTTCTCTGAGGAACTGAAGACATAGAAGACCCCACTTTGAATCAAGAGACCTCAAGTCTAATGTGCTAGACGTGGCTTCATGGTGGAATTCCCTGAAGAATATACGGAAATATACGGAATGCTCAGGTCCCATCCTAGACCAACTAAACCAGAAGAGCACCTGAGGGGCATCTGTGTGGCTCAATTGGTTAAGCACCTGACCCTTGATTTGGGCTCAAATCATGATCTCACAGTTTGTGAGATCCAGCCACTGCACTGACAGTGTAGAGCCTGCTTGGGATTGTCTCTCTCCCCCTCTCTCTCTGAAAATAAATAAACATAATAAGAAACAAAGAAAAGCACTTGAGATAGAAATGTAATTCTTTTTTTTTTAATTTTTTAATGTTTTATTTATTTCTAGGAGAGAGAGAGAGAGACAGCGTGAGCAGGGCAGGGTCAGAGAGAGAGGGAGTCACAGACTCTGAAACAGGCACCAGGCTCTGAGCTGGCAGTCAGCACAGAGTCCGATGCGGGGCTCGAACCCATGAACCGCAAGATCATGACCTAAGCGAAAGTCGGACGCTTAACTGACTAAGCCACCCAGGCGCCCCGAAATGTAATTCTTGAATCTTCACTGTCTCTGCATGGGCTGCTGTAACAACACACCATAGACTGGTAAACAGCTGATATTTATTTCTCAGAGTTGTGGAGGCTGGGAAGTCCAAGATCAAGGTGCCAGCAGACTTGGTTCTTGGTGAGGACTCTCTTCTGGACTAGTGGACAGCAGCCATCTGACTGAGTGCTCACATGACCCCTTTTTTGTGTGCACTTGGGGGTCCCACTCTCATGACCAAAGCTAAACCTAGTTACCTCGCAAAGGCTCCACCTTCAAATACCATTATGTTGGGGGTTAGGGCTTCCATATATAAATTTGAGAAGGAACACCAAACATTCGATCCATAATATTTACTCTCTAGACTACTCATTGGCAATCAATCACCAAATAAGTCAATATTTCCTCTGAAAAGAAATCTCTTCCTTTTTCTTGACATTTATCATTTCTTTTTTTTTTTTTTTAATGTTTTATTTATTTCTGAGAGAGAGAGAGAGACCAAGAGAGCAGGGGAGGGTCAGAGGGAGACACAGAATCTGAAGCAGGCTCCAGGCTCTGAGCTAGCTGTCAGCAAAGAACCCGACATGGGGCTCGAACCCACGAACTGTGAGATCATGACCTCAACCAAAGTCGGACGCTCAACCAACTGAGCCAATCAGGTGCGCCCCACATTTATCATTTCTTATTCAAAAGCCCTTCCTATTTCAGAGAAACAATAATAATTATCACTACCTGAGGAACCAGGCTACAGTTTTTACACATATTGTTGCATTTGCTCTAATCCTTATTAAAACTGTAGGGAAACTCCCAGCCAAAGAGCTAGCAAGAGAGAGGGGAATCAGGCTTCAAAAACAGTGATGACCATCACCTTTATGCTCTACTTTTTCCATCCTTTCTTTTTTCCAATCCATCTTGTATAAATCCCCCAAATGATGTTCCTCAGAAACCTGAAGCACTTTTCTACTCTGCTGAAGAATCTGTAGTAGCTATGACTGCTGAATTTGCTCTCTGCTTTTCAGTGTGGCTCTCAACACATCAATCCTCAGATCTTTCCTCATACTGCTAATTGTATTAATTGTATTCTCCAAGCGAACTCCCTCAGGTCAGCTATGCTGAACTTTTTCATGGATGTAGGCTACTTGTTTGTAGTAGAAGATTAAGAAAATTCATAACCTGAACTACCAGCCTCTGAGAATAAATGGAGTACATTATTAAAACCAACTCATATATTACTGACTCATTGGTCCTACATGCAGATCCATTTAATGATTGCCTCCCACTCCAAGTATGGCCTGGTGGTGTCTGACTTCTTTGGTAAATGAATTGCCATTTCCCTCACTTACACCACAAGTGTTCTAATGAATGTGGCCTCTGCTTTGCTGGACACCACACCCTCTGCTGGCACATCTAGGCTACTCCACTGGACACTGGAGGGTCTGTCAATATCTGGGCACACTTAACATATCACAACCCTGATAGGCCAAAGCCCTTAAGGTGTCATAGTTTGTGTCTCTGGATAAGATGGAGAATGTCTCTCTTCTTTGCATTATATTCTTTTGTTGGAGGAAGGTTGTTGAAAGCTGTGCCTCTGGAGTTCCAATGTTGTGCCTTATTTTTAGATTCTTATACCTGTCAATTTTTTGAGTCTAGTTGAGTTGGGAAGAGGAGGCAACCTGAGTGCCAGTCACTGTGCTCGGGTTGGAATCATCATTTCTCCAGAGCTCCCTGCTCTGTTGCTGACTGGGCTCTTGTTCTTTGGCCTGTTCTCTTAGAATGCACGTTTCCCAGAACCATTCATTCCATGTTCCCCCAACTTCCACCCAGGTATATATCTGTCTGTCTGCCCACCACACCCCACACATCTGAGCTGGAAACCTTCTAGGCTAAATGAAAATCCCCACTTACCTAATTGGCATATCTTTTTTTTTTTTTTTAAGTTTTATTTTTATTTAGGTAAATCTCTATACCCAATATGGAGCTCAAACTCAAAGCCCTGAGGTCAAGAGTCACATGCTCTTCTGACTGAATCAGACAGGTGCCTCTACTTTTGCACATCTTATTGGTCCCACTTGAAATATTTTCTTACCCAATAATGATCTTCGTTAAGACCAAGAGCCCAACAAGTCTAATTATTCCTTGTGCCCTGGTTGTGCACTATGCCTGGTGGTTTACAGTAACTGTTCTATGGTAATTTTCTCACTTTTGTACAGGACCCCCTCCCATTTAGACATTTGTTACTTCAATCATTTCACATACAGTTACTACGTCAGTCTTCTGAAGATAATGCTTTGATAATGCCACCAATCTTTAATTGCCCTCATTATTTATTATTTACTTTTTTGAAGTTTATTTAGTTTGAAAGAGAGAGAGAGATTGAGCAGCGGAGGGGTAGAGACACAGGGAGAGAGAGAATCCCAAGCAGGGTTTGTGCTGTCAGCACAGAACCCGATGCAGGGCTGCATCTCATAAACAGTGAGATCATGACCTGACCTAAAACCTTACTGAGCCACCCAGTTGCCCCAAGGAAATTTCCTCCAAGTCACTGAGAATTTTTATAATAAATGAATTGAATTTTATCATATTCTATTGAAATGATCCTATGATGTATCTGCTCTAATCCATTATCACAAAGCATTCCAATAGATGTCTTTTTTAAAAAATTTTTTATGTTTTTTAAATTTATTTTTGAGAGTCAGAGACAGCATGAGCAGGGGAGGGTCAGAGAGAGAGGGAGACACAGAATCTGAAGACAGGCTCCAGGCTCTGAGCTGGCTGTCAGCACAGAGCTTGACACAGGGCTCGAACCAATGAACTGTGAGATCGTGACCTGAGCCAAAGCTGGGCGCTTAACAGACTGAGCCACCCAGGCACCCCTAGATTTCTTAATCAACAAAATGTGTACTCGGAAACTGTCTCCACTTTCTTATGACATATTTCTTAACACACTAATTTAAATCTACTTCTTTTTTTTCTACTGCAAAATTTCCATTCCCATTGATACCAATATCACTTGCAAACTCACTTCCTTTTCCCACATTACATGCAACAGTCTTATAATCATAATACAAACAAAATACTATTACCATCAATGTGATTACTGAAAACAGTTTATAATTTTGGTTTTACAGTTCCTTTTGTCCTAAGATATGTAAAATTCACAATGGTCACTTAAAGCCAAAGTGAGCTGAAACTGACAGCTGTGAAATGTTTTCAGGCTTTCATTTTATCTTTAAATTAAAAACATTTTTGTTCATGTGCTACATTTGAGCTATTGGATGTAAGAATCTATGGACACACATTTATTGAGAACTTATTTCACTGTTTCCCAAATTTGTATTTGATGTGTCTCATAATTGAAATATCTGGGATAAATGATCCAGAATGACCTGTATTTATTAATACTGAGACTTTAAAAAATATGACCAAATTTTCCATTGCTACCTCAGCACACTACCCCAAATCATCTAAAGACCTATACTGTAATAGAGTCTTTCTAATACCAACTTTCTGAGACTCCCCTTAGCTCCCCGTGGTGTGTGTTCCCTTTTGCTGCAATACATGGTAAATGAAATTTCTCAACTTCTGGTATATTCTTGTTTTTAAATGTTCTGACAGAAGCTAAAAGACCTATCAACCAATGGCAATGGATTATATTTTGGTCCTGATTTTAGGAAAATAAATATCTATTAAGACAGAAGAAATTTGAACACTGGATGTTTGGTATTAAGAAATTGCTTTCTTTAAAGGTGAAATAATGTCACTGTGGTCAGTTTTTTCTTTTTCTCCCAAAGACTAGGTTTTTTCTTTTTCTAGAGATACATGCTCAAATACCTACAAATGAAATAATATGACGTTAGATATTTGCATCCCTGGGGGAAGAAGAGGTTAGAGCTATAGACAATCAAGACTGTCAGGACGTCACCAGTTGTTAACGAGTAAGGTACTTATTCTACTCCTCTACGTGATCGAAATTTTACAAAAGCCTCTAAAAAATTAAATTCTTTTAGGAGAGTGCATTATTGTAAGATCAAGGAAAAAGCTATAGCATGGCACCCAAAGAGTGAAGCATTAACTGTTCGGAAGACTCGGGCTTTCTTTTTTACCCCCACACCAGAGTCGAGGCTGCCAAATAGGCGCTCCTAAGTGTCTCAGGCAGATTAATGTCTGAATTAAGTGAAATTGTATGTAGAACCCACACGTGCCGGGAGCTATGCTTATCAGGCTCCTATGACATCCCACCAGCTACTTCGTTCCCTCCCTACTCATCGAACCCCATCCCAGAGTCTCCGCACACATCCAAGATGGTGGGTCACGACAGTGAACCAGGTCAGCGATGCCTCCCGGAGCGTGCGTTGGCGCCAGGCTGCGCAGGCGCATTTCTGCTTCCCTCCCCGACCTTGGCGGATCGCGCCTGCGCGGTGGGGAGCTGCTCGCAGCTCCCGCTCGGCCTTGGGCTGGCTGCAGTCTCAGTTTGAGGGCGGCCGAAGTGGCTGGCTCCCTTAAGATGAGGTTTCTGCTGCTTCTCCTGGTGGCGGCGTCGGCGGTGATCCGGAGCGATGCCTCGGCCAACCTGGGCGGCGTGCCTAGCAAAAGATTAAAGATGCAGTACGCCACGGGGCCGCTGCTCAAGTTCCAGATATGGTGAGTCTGTGCGCCGGGCCCCGGCGGTGCCGCCGCCCCTCTGTCGGCCTCTGTAGCCAGGCCAGGCCCCGGCTTTGCGGCCCAGCGGGCTGAACCTCCCCTTGGCCCGGAAGAACGGCGCCAGCAGCCTTCCGCCTCTCGCCTTCTCCGAGGCCCTTCCCGGGACTGCCAGGCCCGCCCGTCTTTGCTCTAAGCATAACCGCTCACTTCGCTCGGTTCTTTTTTTGCCTCCTAGAATGGTGGGAGTGGGGAAGGAGGGCGAGAGAAGGTGAAATCCTGAAAGGCGAAGACGTGGGGACACTTGTCAGTACGGAGCGCCGGTTGGCGGCGTCACGCCATGGCCACCCTGGCCGCCTGCGGAGGTGGGCATGAGTTGGCGCAGCGTCGGTGGAGGAGCTCCCGCGTTTGTCGCCCGGTTCCCTTCTCCTGCCCGCTTTCATGGGGTTCTGCCGGGCGCCCTCGCTGCCCCGCTGGGCGAAGGCTATTTCGGTTCTTTGGTGTTGACCCACGAGGGATAGGCGCCTTTTCTCCAGGACCGTCCCCGGTTGACTGTTGAGTGAGGGAGTGGGGATTCTGACAGCTGGCGGGCGAGCAGAGGTCCTGGGAGGCTGATTCTCCGTTTGCAATTTCCAAAATGTCTTTGCAGAGGAGCACGTTGCTCTTCGGACAACGGTCACTCCCGCACAACTCTTATGTTTCTCCCCATTCCCCCTACAGCCGCCTCCCACGAGTTGCCTAACCCGGCATGCCTTTCTGTCTTTCTATCTTAATGCATTCAGAGAGGTAGGGGAAAAAAAAGAAAGAAAGAAAGAAAGAAAGAAAGAAAAGAAAAGAAACAAACCAAAACCCCGAAGCAGAAAAAAACCCGGTAGTTTTCGATGTTGTCTCTCTGTAAGTGATTTATTTTGTTGTTACCTAGTTAAGTATTAGAACCTGAGCAATAATGCAAGAAGGTAACTGGGTTGGGGGGATTGGAAGGCTAACGTAAAATTGTAGAAATTAGAATCCTGTATCACAAAAGATGATATTTTCTTCAGGATAGGATGGTTAGGTTAGTAAATTTTCAGAGTCCTGATACTTTGGGAGTATTGGTGTTGGCCATAATGCAACACCATTACTTTATGAGCTTTTTTTTTTAAATGTTTTATTTATTTCTAGGAGAGAGAGAGAGAGACAGCGTGAGCAGGGGAGGGTCAGAGAGAGAGGGAGTCACAGACTGAAACAGGCTCCAGGCTCTGAGCTGGCAGTCAGCACAGAGCCCGACGCGGGGCTCGAACCCACGAACCGCGAGATCATGACCCGAGCGAAAGTCGGACGCTTAACCAACTACGCCACCCGGGCGCCCCTAAAATAGGCTTTTTAAAACTTTATGTATTCATGTAAGTGTATGAAAGGTTAGATTTTCTGCTTACCCGACTTTTTTTTTTTTGCTTAATCTTTAAAGAGTACACAAATACTTAAAATTTAAAAATTCAGTTTAAGTGACCCTTAGAGTCAGAAAGTGAGATTGTGAGACTTTATTTTTGGAGGGAAAACTGTAGCAACCTCACAGTTTCTTCTTGATTAAAAACAGCAACAAACTCCCTGCACTGTGTACTGTGCGGCCAGCATATATCATTTTCCGTAATATACTATAAATACTGTAAATGGGAGTTATGGTTTGACCATTCCACCTTTTCCCATATTTTTTTTCAAATTAGAGAGTGGCAGTTATTTTTTAAATCTGTAATGATTGTTAAGGATTAAGTATGATACTTTGGATGAAGTAGTTTAAAAAAGACTGCAGTTTCCAAGTTATGTAATTTTTTCTCTTTCCTACTTTTACATCTCTAGGTTTCACTTGTGCTTTTCCAAAATACTCTTCTTTTACAGATGTTTTTGTTGGGATACCTGTCAAAATAATTTAACAAGTCCACCTTCCACTGAGGATGTTCATAGCAAAGTTTTCCAAAAGAATTATGGGAAGGGCATTCAGTTCTTCTACCAAACGTTTTAATTTTTTTTTTTTTTTTAAATTTCTAGGGGAGAGAGAGAGACATCGTGAGCAGGGGAGGGTCAGAGAGAGAGGGAATCACAGACTCTGAAATAGGCTCCGGGCTCTGAGCTGGCAGTCAGCACAGAGCCGGACGCGGGGCTCAAACCCACGAACCGCGAGATCATGACCCAAGCGAAAGTCGGACACTTAACCGATTAAGCCACCCAGGCGCCCCAAACGTTTTAAAAGTCTTACGTACTTAAGTTAAATTTATAATGCATAGTGTTTTTCATTCTTTTTCTTTCCTTTAAGTACAAAATTGTCCCAGAAGTCTATTAAGAGTTTTCTTTTGCAGTAACCCAGGGCATGTTATGTACAGAAATCAGTTTTGTTTTTTTTTTTTAAATCATAGATGGGAAACAATTTTAATAGCATGCCCTCCATATACAGGTAAATTTAGCTTGTCTGTTACTTTTTCCCCAAGAGGTTAATCTGTATATAGTAAATTGAATATTGGGTTTCTGGTTTTGGCAGAACCTGTTGGATATTCATTTGCAGGTTTGGGAAAGGAGAGGAAGCTAAAACAGTTGAGGATAAATATGTGAAAATTCTTTTAATTCTCTTTGAAATCTCAATGCTGTAAAAGACAATTTTTCATTAATTACCAGTGTTAACAAAGGAGAGGACTGAGGAGCCTGGGTGGCTCAGTCGGTTAAACATCCGACTTTGGCTCAGGTCATGATCTCACGGTTCATGGGTTCAAAGCCCCTGGAGCTTGCTTTGGACTGTGTCTCCCTCTCTCTGCCCCTTCCCCACATATACTCTGTCTCGCTCCGTCTCAAAAATGAATAAATGTTAAAAAATATTTTAATAAAGAACACAAAGGAGAAGACTGTTTTTACCTTACTTTCAATTGCTTTTGTCCTTTATTATTTTATACTCATTATGAATACTCTTTCTTTAACTGTAGCTCAATGTATCATCCGTTAATTGTTCCACTTTTATAATTGCTAAAGAACAAAACAGCAGCACAGCACGTAAATGGAATTAAAGGGAGAGAGATCAAGTGTGCAGAAGAGCTTAGAACAAACTTTACTATTCTGCATTCATGCATTTTTGCAATAAATACTCATTCAATACTTGTTTGTGGCAGGGGCTAAAGATACCAAGGTGAACAATATAGGTATGGTCCCCTCATGAAACTTACAGAAATACACAGTGTTACTTTCCATACCTGAGTCTTCAGTTTATGTCAGTTAATGGAACAACAGAATTAGATAAGGTTGATGACAACTGACTTCTTATTTGGGAGGAAAACTTATCTTATTTGGATGTTTAAACGTTGAACATAAAAGAAAGTTCTGTAATCAGAGTTTAAAATAAAGTTCCCTTGTAACATTTTCCTTTCTTGTGATTTTTATGAATAAATGCATTCTGTGTGTGAATGTATTCTGACAGGTACCGTCTGGCATGATGTTTTTGTATGCGTGCTTTATTTTTTCCATGTTTGAGATTTATCATGTAGTCAGACCTACAGCATTTAATCAGTTGTAATTTAAAGAGCTTACTGGCCACAACTCTTTACAGTTAATACTTGAGTATTTGACAACTGATTCACTAAGAATAGTAAATAAAGTTAAGATTTCAAAACGTAAGAGTACAGCAGAATCTTCCAATTTTTGTTAATTTAAGAATCCACTGCTATAATTTTAGGACAAGCAACACAAAGTATTTTTTAGAGGTAAATGAAACATCTACTACAAGAACAGATTGTTATTTAAATTTACACCAACTCAGCCTTTGCTTTCGTGGTACGGAGGCAAGAAAACAGACCCAAGGCTGATTTGGATGTTGGTACTTAACTGAGATTAGTAAAAGGCTGAATTGAAGAAATTGGAGACATTGTGAGTCCTAAAGATGGTGAGTTACTGTGGACTTAATATTTGCATATTCAACAAATATTTGAGCACCTACTCTGCAGGCACTTTGCTGCTTGTTGGTTGAGTTTTCTCATAGACCTAGGCAAGAATGGAAGGCAGTCATTAACCCATGGACAACACATACAGTTCTAATTGTGTTAACTGCTCTAAAGGTATAGTGTGAGAGAGAACTGGTCAGAGGATCAGGGAAGGTTTTCATGAGGAAACGTACTTTGAACTGCGATCTAAAGGGTAAGATTTATTGCCAGGGAGCTTTCAAAGCAATGGGAATCTCAGGTTCACTGGCCTTCTAGTAAAGAGAACGTAATTGCTTGAAGCCAAGGCTCCTGACCTCAAAGACCAAAGACAAGGTGACACAATCCCTGGAAGGCCTGGCAGGCCATGTTAAGAAAAGATCAGCTAGCATCATTGTGGACAAGACATTACAGGGGACAAAGAATAGATATGGGGAAACCATTTAAGGGGACTGTTGGGTGTTGCCTAGGTGAGAGATGATAGAGCTTGGAATACAGTCGTGGTGGTAGAAGTAGAATATAAAGGGACAGGTTAAGATCTTTAGGAGATAAATTTTGCAGTTATTGATGACGGGTTACATTTGGGGGGGGGGGGAGGTGTCAAAGATGGCTCCTGACTTCTTGAGTGGTGCTGTGCCATTCACTAGAGTGATAACCAAAGGAGACAAATTTCATGGATTTGTGAGTGTGTGTGTGTGTGTGTGTGTGTGTGTGTGTGTGTGTGTGTGTGTGAGAGAGAGAGAGAGAGAAGGAAAGGGAAGACTCCGGAATTTTTGAAATACAATAATGGAAATATCCTACAAAGAAATTTCATCTCCCCAAAATAGGCATAGTAACTGCAGCTGAAAACTTAGTTAGCAGTTAACTGTATTTCACCAAACCTAAGACGTGATGGATTATAAGGTACACAATATTTTACGTACCGCCCAGAAGGAAAAAAAATACTGCCATTTAAACTGACACAGTAATGATTGTAAGATAAATCCTGATTTTTAAAAAGATGCTAAGTAGGAGAAGTGTACTTCTTGGAATCAATGAAATAAACGAGTAAGTGGATCCAGCTGGTACTAA